ACCCGTGTGTGTATATGCGCAAGCTACAGGATGATGAGCATATTTATTTGTTATTATATGTTGATGATATGCTCATTGCTTCCAGAAATACTTCAGCTATTGGGAAATTGAAAAAGGAGCTGTCATCTGAATTTGAGATGAAGGATCTGGGAGAGACTAAGAAAATACTGGGTATGGAGATTGAGCGAGACAGGGTGAAGGGGAGATTGAAGCTTACACAGAGGAGTTACTTGCAGAAGATGCTGAAGAAATTTAGTTTTGAGGATAATACCAAGGTAGTGAGTACTCCATTAGCTCCCCACTTTAAGCTTTCAACTTTGATGTCACCAGTTTCAGTGGAGGATCGGGACTTCATGTCCAAAGTTTCATATGCCAGTGCAGTGGGTAGCTTGATGTATGCTATGGTGTGTACGAGGCCAGATTTGTCACAGGTCGTGAGCATGGTATCTAGGTACATGCATAACCCCGGAAAGGGGCATTGGGAGGCCGTGAAGTGGATTCTACGGTATATTAAGGGTACCGTGGATGTTGGGTTGATATTTATGAAGAATGATGAGACAGTGCAGGATTGTATTGGCTACGTGGATTCAGACTATGCCGGAGATCTTGACAAGCGTCAGTCCACTACATGTTATGTTTTTACATTGGTTTGTGCACCGGTGTGTTGGAGATGCACTCTTCAGTTTACAGTAGCGCTTTCTACTACGGAGGCGGAATATATGGCGGTGACTGAAGCAGTGAAGAAGGCTTTGTGGCTACATGGTTTGTTAGATGATTTGGGGATTGCACAGGAGACCATTCAGGTATATTGTGATAGCATGTCAGCTATCTATTTGGCGAAGAACCAAGTCTACCGACCATTCAGGTATATTGTGATAGCATGTCAGCTATCTATTTGGCGAAGAACCAAGTCTACCATGCACGAACGAAGCACATTGATGTCAGATTTCATTTTGTACGTGACGTATTGGATGATGGTGATGTCACGTTAGAGAAGGTCCACACTAAGAACAACACTGCTGATATGTTGACCAAAGTTGTACCAGGTGTGAAGTTTGGTCATTGTTTGAACTTATTGAACATTCTTCGTTGTTGAGGCCGTTGGCGGCCATTTGGATGAACTACGTTTGACTTGATTCCTTAGGCAAGAGGATACATAGGCAGTCTTGCAGATGCAGCCGGTTGTGTGAATTGAATTTGATTGGGGGTGAGATAGTTTCAGCTCTCTCTTGAAGTGTTTGTGGTGTCAGCTCAGTTTTGGCAAAACGTTCGCCGAGGTGGAGATTTGTAGAATTGGCAGAATAGCAGTTTTCAGGCTCAGGATCAGCTTTTGGCAATTTGGTGGTCGATCGTGGGCTTTGGCGGTCGACCGCGTTCGTGCACAGCCCTTACTGTGCGTCTGCACCTGTGGCGGTCGACCGTGACGGTCGACCGCAGAAGTTTCTGTTTTTGTGACGGTCGACTGCCACGGTCGACCGCGGTTTTCTCTGGATTATGGTGCTGTTCTGGGATTGAGGGCGATCGCGGTCGATCGCCACGATCGACCGCCGAAGCGGTTGAGCTGAATTTTGGGTTTCAGACCCGTTTCGTTTGAGAGTTGTATAAATACCCTTAACTCGCTTTCAGGGTTTGTGGGAGAAGATTTTGAGCGGCTGAAAGAGGAGATTTAGGGCTTCTATTGTTGGAGCCATTTGGAGAGATTAAGAGGACTTATTTGTGGGTTTTGGTAAGATTTGTAACCCTAATTTGTACTCCCCTTGATTTTCATTAGTAAAACTCCCCCCTCCTTGCCCCGTGGACGTAGGCACATTGCCGAACTACGTAAAGCTTGTGTTCTTGCTATGGTTGGTGTTACTTGTTATTATTGTGATCTATTATTGGTTCTTGTGTGTGCGATTGACTTGTCGAAACGGCTTCCGCGACGCATAACATCTTGGACTCTATTTGTACATTTTGCGGCATCGCCGAAGAGTTCAACCTCACTGATTCTAAATTCACTTATTATATTATCTTTGCAGATATAAGAAACGTTGGGTTTTTTTTTTTTTTTTTTTACTTCTGGCATCAAATTTTGAAACAACTTAATTGATGGATTGTATTTCGTATTGTTTGTAACTGAAGTTTGATTTTGTTGTATTGTCAGTAATCGAAGGCAAATAAGAAACCTAGATAGAGCATGCTAATTCAATTTATTTTACGTAACAATCACAGGATGTTTGATGAAATGTCCAAATTGAGGCACAATTACTAAAAAAAATCAACAATGGAGTAGCGTACTTGTAAGTAGAAAAAAGAATCGGGTCTGGATGTTAGTCTCACATCAGACCCAAAATGCCAAGTGGGGAAATTCTGACCAAAGTTTTGCCCATAGGGTTAATCTATACGAGTAAAAAAGCTACCTTCGAGCATGGGTGTTCAAAATTGTCGGGCGTTTAAAAGTGGGCAAAAATATTAAATTGATATATTTTGTTTATCTTAGTGACAGTACTGCATACAATTTTTTTTCGGTGACATATTGGTATATTTTTTCCCTCCGGCGACAAATGGGCCTTGAGTTTGGCCGGATCCAATTTTACTGTGATTTTTCTCACGTGACGGCTCACGTGATGCGAACGTGGCCCCAACGTGGCTTCTAGCGTGGCGGTAGTTGGGATGTTTTTAGGCTCTTCGAAAGGAGGTTTTCCTCATATTAGGGCTAGGTTTCTCCTCTTCTTCACTTCGTCTTCTTCCATCTTCTTCTTCCTCCTAACGTTAGGATTAGGTTGAGTGGAATTTAAATTAGCAATGGATTCTTCATCTTCAAAATGACGCTCAAGATCAGTGTCAAGCACGAGCATGGGAAGAAGCAAACAATGGTTTAATGGGATGAAAGTTATACGGCAGTGGAATGATCTAGCAAAACAATCTGGGGTGAAGGTTTGTAGTTGTGGTTTGGAGTGTGAAAATTTTACTTCTATGACTAATGAAAATCCAGGAAGGAGGTTCTACAAATGTCGCAATCATCATGTAAGTTAATTTTGAATTTGTTATGAATTATTGATAAATTTTCCTTAGATTTTACTTTATACCTGTAGTTATGAGTTGAAACAAAGAGAGAGATATGAGAATATGCATGCTAAATACAAATTTTGTGAACATGATCCTAGAAATAACTTGCGTTAATTTAAATTGAATAGGGTGAATACGTAATTAATGCATTAATATAACTTTTATAAAATATTACAAAACAAAGTTCAATCATTTAATATATTAATTACATTATTCATATATTAATTAACGTATTAAAGCCTACCATTATCCAAATCAAACCTAGATCATTACATCATTTATATATATTGAGGATTGCTAAATCATTAAGTAAGAACTCCATCAGTGCACCATGTTTCGCCCTGAATTTGTTTATTTTTGTTGACTTCCCTTCACAGTTTTCCTTAGCATGCTCTAGCAGTTCTCCGTAGGTCCATCCCTTTTCTCCATTGCAATAGGGACATAGTAATTTCATTTCTGTGATGACCCTCTTGTTGTTGTTTTGCAATTGTTCAAGTAAAAAAATTTCATAGTTGATAGAGTTATCTTGATTGTCGAGGAATTGTTCCATCTGAAAATTTAATTATAAACATGTAATAAGATATGAAGGAAAAAATAGGTAATTATTGGAATATTTACCTCGGCATTATCTTCAAATTGAGAGCTAATGATGTCATCTACATTCTTTCCCCGAGGAGAGATGTTGTCCATTATTGCGCTTTTATCTAAACCCCTATTGAACAAAAGTATCAAGAATAGAAAAAATAAACTTTCAAATGAAAGAAAATCTCCTCTCTTACCTCCTATTGTTTAAAGATGGAGGATGTTGATTTTGGAAAAACTATAAAGTTCATGTTGTATTTATAGGCCGTAAGAATACAGTTATATAGACTCCTACATTATCGGTTCACATCCACTGGTAAGAAATTGAACAGTCATATTTGTAACTGTTCAGTTTTTGGTTGACTCACATCATCCAACAACAACACATCAGAGGCATCCACAAACTTCTACAGGTTCATCTACTGCATGATCAACAAAGATTTCAATTGCCTTCACATTTTTCACATGTTCTAGCATATCAATTAAGGAATCTTATGAATTTAGAGACTTCAATCCACCATTGCCAACTCTTATGTCAGGAATACAGTAGAACAAGCAGTTGTCATTGTTATAGCAAATTGTTTTAACCTCATCATTAAGTCTTTCTATATTCAGTTCATCTTTATCTATAAATCTAACATTAAATCTACCACCAATATAATCTTCCACATAGTCAAACGGGAAATTTCCTCCATGTCTGATTTTAACCATGATATTAACACACATCTGCAATATCACAAAAAACCTCAAAATAAACAAGCAAACCACTAAATTATACAATAAACCGTAATCATAATTGAATTTCACAACAAAAAACACGCAAAATCTGTAATCGACAAGTTGTTACCATGAAAAACTCTAATTTACATTAAACCATGAATTTTAACCCATCAACTAGCCCTAGTCATCCTAAATGACCATCTAATTACTGAAATCAGTTTCAAAATTATGAAATTTGTACTCACCTTTTTCGTCGCACCAAAGACGATGAAATAACCCTAATAACCTCTTCGACCTCTATGTAGATGGAAGATATTAAGGGGAAGAGAGGGAAATAAGAGAATGGCGGGAGGGGGAGGGGGAGGGGGAGGGGGGTTCTGGGTTCTCTACATAAACACTTCCATTCCTTACCACTAACTCCAACCACGCTGGAAGCCACGTTGGGGCCACATTCGTATCACGTGAACCGTCACATGAGAAAAATCCCCGTAAAATTAGATCCGGCCAAACTTAAGACCCATTTGTCGCCGGAGGAAAAAAAATACACCAATATATCGCTAAAAAAAATTTATATGCTAAACTATCACAAAGGGTAAACAAAATATACAAATTTGGTATTTTTGCCTTTAAAAATGGCTCTCTAAAGACAATGAAACCGAGTAAACCACACGTTCATTAAATCACACCAACCAATAATTTTACACAATTCTAGTGGCTTTTAATAAGAGCTGACCCATCTTCTGCCACTGGAATCAAGGCTTCCAGCCACAAAATGAGAACCTACACACGCACCCCAACACAGATAACCGCGCTTCAACGCACATAGAGTCTAAGTGCAAGGATAAGAGCAAAGATGTAAAATGTTTCTGCAGCAGCAAAAGCATCCACCCAAGGATAACTTGCATCTCTGACAAAAGTCACAACAGCGATAGATAGATATGAATTATGATCAAAGGTTCATTCATTCCTGCGGTAAAAAGTCTAACATTCAATCCTCTTTTCACTCCATCCCAACAAAAGAAATATGAAACAGCCAAACAAAGCAAACAAATCTTCAAACAATTCCAACCCCAACAGCCATCAGGCGTAGTTCAGCCTGAATATGTCATTCAGTACATAGTAGCTTCCCTGGGGCGTCGGCATCAAATGAAACATCTGCAATTCATAACATGAAATTATAAAATAATCAGGAGAAGTATGTGAAAATAAAAAGGTGCCTATTTGCAACTCTAAAACATAACCAAATACTTATTGCACAAATACATAATGATGCTTCATCATTGATGGAGTTGGATGACATTATATACATCTAGCAATATTCTGACATGGCAACGAAAATAAAAGTAGGTGTTTGGCTAGCTTTTCCATACCTACGCATTTGGTCAATCTCAAATAAGATCACTTTCAAGTCCAATTTAAAAAAGTTGGGGTATCCAACCCAACTTTTTGAAAAACTAGCATAATTTATAAGCTTCAAAAAATAGGTCCTTCCAAACACCCTTTAAACCTATGAAGTTTTTTGGTTACAAGGGAATATATTATGTAGCTTCTAAATGATTCAACATGGAGGCCTCAAGGCCCAAAAAATGGTTAGAAGCAATGCCAAGCTTAGCCAGGCATCACTTATAAACCAAACTTCTAGACTTTTGAAGAAGTCCCCAAGACATCGCTTCAAAAGGGTATTGTAGAGGTCCTAGAAGCCCACGGTGAATAATGAGGAAATACCAAACCACCAGACAAAAAAATTCAATCAAAAAAATGAAAAGGGAGTCCAGTGAACTTTCAATCAAAAAACTGAGAGAGGGAACACAAACAGAAGAAAAGTGTTGGTAAACTCATTAGCTGAATGCAGGCAAAAGAACAGATCAAATACAAATGATTAAACACCTAAACGAAACCCTAGATTTGATAAAGTACCATCAGTACAGAGCAAGAAAACCAACAAGAGAAGTATGGAAACAAAAAGAACAATAATGTCATGCATCATGGTAATTGCTAACTAAAAGGTGATTATTTTCAAGTGGGGGCCATTTGAATGAGTGGCCTCCTTGGTACCAAGTCTCTCTCTCCTCTCTCTCGCTACACACATACATTATTGAAGCCACTGTTTTAAAAAACCTCCGCCTAGTCCGCTTAGGCGTAGGCGTAGGCCTAGGCGGTACCTAGGCCGCCTAACTAGCACCTAACGCCTAGACGGTATTTAGGCTGCCCATCTAGATTTTACGAGCGTTTAGGGAAGCATTGTCTTCTTACGTGGATTGCACCATGTAGGCATTGGTTGTGATTTTATGTGTTGTAGCCTACACGTCCTCCAAACTTCATTAACCTCCAAATATGAACACCTCCACTACCTCCTCCGACCTTCAGCAAAACCTCATCGACCACCACTTAAATGAAGAAAAAAATCCGCCTAGACACCAGTCCGATATCTAAGCTTTCTATAACATTGACATTCACTATCAATTATTATAATTAAAAATAAAAAAAGAAAACATCTTAGACTCTAGCATTGTTAATTATTATTTTGGCTATTTAGTATCTAAGTATGCATGATTTATTGTGAAACTAATATTGCTATCTTTTTTAGAAAATTTATATGAATTTAATACATATTTTTTTATCAATTATTATAATTAAATAATTTAAAAATAGTCAAACGCCTGGGCGCACACTCAGGGGTCTAGGCGCTCGCTCAAATGCCTAGTCTGTCTAACGCCTTCTGTAACATTGCCGAGCTCCCCCGATCTCTAACTACCAACAAGATAAAGAATACTTCTTAAATATCTATTTAGGTTAGTTAACAACAGTAACTTAAACTTAAGAAATGTAAGTTAATAGTAAACTTAAGTTTAAGTTTAAGTTAAACTTAAGTTTAAGCTAACAGTAAACTTAAGTTTAAGTTTAAGTTAATATTAAGTATTTTGTTGATGATAAACTTAAGTAAACAGTAAACTTAAGTTAACAATATTTTAGTTAACAGTAAACTTAAGTTTAAGTTTATTGTTAACTTAAACTTAACAATAACTTATAAGTTAACTGTAATTTGAGTTGAGAATGAGTTTTTCACTGTTGAGATGAACTTATAATTTGAGTTGAGAAGTATAAACATACAAAGAGCTATTGTAATTGGTAAACCAAGCAATTTAGTTAATAGTGTTGGTATTTTAGTATTTATGCATCTTTGATTGAGTATATATATATTTATCTTTAAGTATCACAATTAAGAAAATAAAAAAAAATACTCAGAAACCGCTTAGACGCCCACCTAGACGACTAAGCGCTGGACGCCAAGTCCGACGCCTAGAAGCTAGCGCTCAGCGTTTAATGTAACATTGATTGAAGCAACATATAAAGGAACGCACGCCATTGTCACAAAATCTAACTCATGTGGGACAAAGCCCAAGTCTTAAAGCTGTAGCCGCCTGAAAATTTTGTTTGCCTTAACAACAGATTTCTAATAACCCATCAAATAAGCTTTAGATTAATTGTCTGTGGTATTATTGACTTGAAGAGGATCATTATGCAAATATATGTTTACAATCTTGATCGAGTGTGTAAAGGTTAAATCTTAGCTATAAAAAGGAAAAAGAAAAAACAAGACAACTGTTGGTTGACCATCCCATTGCTGGAGGAAAGTCATTAATGCTGGTTGCTGCCACCCAAAATCCACCAGGCACAGCTAGGTTTGCATTGCGTAGAATCAGAGAAGACTAAGAGAGAGAAGGGGAAAAACTTGGAAAATTAAACTGAACCCCCTTAACTTACCAGAATATCATTTACAAACAGAAAATTAACAGATCCGGTCCAAATACATAAAATTTGAGGAATTTTCTGCGAACATTGTTTGTAAGCTAGCAGTGTTCTAAAAAAAAAGGTTTAAGTGTCCTGCCCAATTGCCTGCTAACGCACAGAATTTGAGCTATGCGCTCAATTATGCGGACACCCACATAATCAACTGATGCCAACTGATGCTTTAAGTAATTTTCCGCATAATTTGTTCATGCCAGTGTTTTATTTAATTTGATTGCGGTTGAACCCGTTTTCCCCAAAACCTGATCAAACTAAGCAAAAGAAAAAAAAAATCATAGCCCTTCTCTTTTCCCAATACCCCAACTCGCGCTCCAATTAATCAACAAACAATCCGATTAATCATTAAGCTCTCCAGGACCAAGCATATAATAAAACCATGTTTTTCAACATTGTAATCTAGTACCACTAGATGTCACAAAAATAAGCTTGAATCAGTCCTCAAATAAATTACAGATCGACTCGTGGAACTTCTCAGCTATTCGCCTATTGCAAAGTATCTCAGATGACTTAAAAAATATAATAAATTTTAATAAATGCCTAAAAAGTAAGAGGGTGCTTGTAAAAAGAACTTTTCAACAAGATATGATGGCCGCGGATAATACATCGAGAGATAGAAAGACCCGATATGCGAGTTTTGGGGGTAATTTTGCAAATATCAAGATTTGGAGGTAAATTTGCAAATATTGAAGATCTGATAGGTATATATGCAAAAACCCCTCTATTGAAAGTGGGATAACAGGAAAGTAAAATTTTCAAATGTTAGAGATCTTGGTAAGATGACATGGGATAATTTGGGATCATGAAAAGTGACACATAGTTGGATGATATGACACTTTAATCTTATATTTTACTTATTTTTAGTAATTTAAAATTATTTAATAACATGTTATTAAATCCCGCAAAGAAGTGACTATTAGTTAGACTATAACAAAATTGTTAATAATTACTAATATAATAATGATTTGTTATTTATTAATGTATGCATATCATAGATGAGAATTACCTTGAAATAAGGCCAAAATGAAAAATATGATGTAATTTTTGTTTGGTGCACTAGGAGGAGGTGATGCCATCAAAGAACGGGCAAACAATACAAGGCATTATGCACAGGCACGCACTGACAGATCAATAGACATTACCGTTTTACCCATCAATCTAAAACAATTGTAACCATTTAAAGCAAAACCACACTCTACACCCAAACCTATAAAAATATTTGTCACAATGTCACATTTCCTCCTCTCTTATAAAACAGATAACCTACTTTTGCATTACGCTATTTACCTTTTAAACTAACAAGAGGCACAGCGTTACATTACATTATAATCCTTTTCAACATAAAACAAACTTTCTAAAAGCAGAAGCATGTGAGCCATTTCGTGGTTCTTACTACCTAACCACACTTTGAGCTTATGTGGATCAAGAATTAGTATTTTATTCTTCTGTTACAGTTCTAGGGGTGCACCAGTAGTTTTAGGTAGTTTTATTGAAAGAAAATCCTATGGATGCTACCACAGAAGATACTAGGAATTTTATGCCAAGAGATAAGGAGGCAAGTGAAGAATATTCCCCTCCTAAAAAGTTGTTATTTAAAGGCACTTCTACACAATTCCGCATTACATAATTTATTTCCATTGTTTTGTCTAAAATAAATCAAGTAGTGCATTCCACAGAAGTTCACAGAGTTCGATAGGTGTCAGTAGCATGCTAAGTTACACGGGTATGGGTGGGGGTACGGGACACGACAACTTTGTAAAAGATAAAGTATGGGCACACAGCTACATATACATGCATATATAATAATAATTTGCGTAAGATTGATATTATTTTTTCATTTCACCTGTCATAGAATAAAATTCCTATAACTGTATATGTTTTTTTTATAGTATAGATCTATAAAAAAAATTACCGTTTTTTAATTTGATATCCAAAAGACCAACTTTGAACTAGGTACGGGCTGCAATGAACCCAATTTATGTGCAACGAGTTTCAAGAATTGCATGTACAGAGTAGGATATACATCCAATAAGTATATGAAATTCTAATACTAAGCAGAGGAGTTATTATATAGAAATACCAATACCAGCAGCCTGATCAAGGAACGATGCCTAGGTGAAAGAGTATGATCAGGGACAACTAGCTATAACATGTCCAACATTTTTTTTACTAAAACCTATGTTCCTATAACTCATATCGGATAGATAACCCAATATTTCATAGAAGGCTGCAAAAGAGAAAAGAAAACCCATGATCAACCCACTAATGACAAAAATAGAGTTAGTAAACCCTCAACACTTGGATGGGGATGTGCCTAGTTGTGGAGAAAAAACTACAATTTTGCTCTAAGAACATATCTACACTAATAAAAAAATAAAGATCAACGGTTTTGATTAACTTTTTTTTATTTTTTAGTACAAGTTTGAAGTTAAATCAAAAAGTACCCGAACAAAGTATTAAAAAATCAATATGTGTATTATATTCACATAAAATAGAAAATATTCATGAGACTCTGAGACCACAGAAAAGGTTAAAGCATCATGAAATCAATATATTGCATCGATTGCCCAGAGGCAGAGCAAGAGTCTATTGAACGTAATGATACTATTGAAATTAGTATAGGTGGAATAACATGAACAAACCCAACAATAACCAAAATTAATGCCAACATTAGGTCCAAATGTTAGCAAGTAGTAACTAAATAAATAAAAATTAACTGCTCCCAAAGGAAAAACAAAAATCTGAAGACAAACACCAAGTACAAACTAAAACATCAAGTACTAGATTTAAATTCCTCAGGTCCCAGATACAATGAGAATGAAATATGCAAATCATAAAATAAAATGTTGACAGTCGTGAAATTATCATCCGAGAGAAGAAAACCAAGAAGACCAATCCATTGTTATTATTTAGATGAAAAATCAAAGATCGGTACATCGTGCCAGGTTAAAGGCCTACCAGTAAGAAGCAACAACAAATTATAACAAATCCGTAAAAATCAGGCTGCAATGTGATGCCAGAATGATCCCTGGATTTGTCTAACAAAAATAACTGTAAAATTATATTGCTTTTTAATCAGATAAATCTACCTAAGTGAAAGATAGTAATAAGATTCAACTAGCTGAAGCACTATCAAGAGGTCTTTTCCAACGCCAACATATAAAAACCATATCAGGAAAATAAACAACTAAATCATAGAAAGCCATAAGAGAATCCCATGATCACATCAACACCAGACATCAGAACCAGCAAGTCCACAATTCAAAATCAAGACAGATTGAACTGAACCTCAATAGAATAAATATACATTTAAGAACATAGGTACAAAATAAATTAATAATCATAAATCAAGACCAACAATAATGATCACTCATTCGTGGCATAAAACATTGGAATAAAATCGCAGAGAAAACTACAGAACAAAGTATAAATGTAAATGTAGATATACTCATAAAAAAATGAAAATCCTCATTCAAGAGAAAATAAAAGGATAAAGAATTAGGTAGCTTCACGCAAATTTATAACTGCAGTTGATAAAACAGAAATTGCAGTAATCTTTTTACGATTTTTCCCCCTTAAATCCTCATCTCCATCATATCCCCTAAGCTCTCTATTTAATAACTGCTGCTACAAATAGGCTGCAAGGCTGCAATTATAACAAAATAAACAACAATACAGCTACTTTTTTGCAAACTACAACTAAGATTTAGGTGCACTTTCCTACAAACCAAACACCCCAAAATATCATGAAATACCATCATCGAAAAAGATTGTTCTGAACTTCCCACATTTAGATCGATACATCAAACTTTAGATCAATCAATCCTTCATCCATATTAAAACTAACTTGCATATTCAAGGTTGCAGTATACCATGACAGACTGACCAGTTTGTTAAACCCAAGATCTATCCAGAAACTCAAAAAATAAAAATAAAAATAACCCATAAAAGGAAATATCCACAACAACAACAAATATAAAGTCCAAAACAAACGTCTTAAAACATCAAAACATAAACACTAAATCATGGCCAAAGCATCCATCTTCAAAATTCAAGCAACTAAACCCTAAACTTACAGTGACAGCTACAGGAACAGGCACCAGATTGAAGAAAACCTTAAAAAAATAAGGTTTGCCCTACCAAAATTCTTGTTAACCCTAAATCTATCCAGAAATTAAAGCATTGCTAAACTTAATATCAGAGAAAGAATCTCCAGGCATAAACACTGAAGTGATGGCCAAAACATTGATTTCAAATGTCAATCAAATAAACCCTAGATCTACGAAAAACCTAAGAAAATGCAGAGATTGAGAAGACGAAAGGATCCAACACCAGGCTGCGCTTGTTTGCTTAACTTAAAAACTACTGTTAAACTCTAGATTTATCCAAAAAGCGAATCAATTAACAAACTAAATATCCAGAGCAAGAATCTCCTAGCACAAGACTAAAATCATGATCAAAGCATTGATTTAAAAATAAACAGTTGCCTAAACGCTAGATCTAGGGCGAGAACTACTGCCGCAAGCAACAGATCAAAATAAAACCTCAAAAAGCAACCGAAATCAGGGAACAATAGCGTCAGATACGTAAACAATGGTCAAATCATTGATCTCAACTCATCGATTCGCTAAACCCCAGATCTACACCAAGAGGTACAGCAACAAGCACGAGATCAAAGCAAACCCTAGAAAATCACCGAGACGAGAGGGTCAAAGTCCCGATACCTGGCTGAACTTGAGTTGGTGCTGCTCGCCGGCGAGCTGGAGCGAACCGCTGACGAAGACGAGCTTGCCGCCGGCGGGTCGATGGTGGAGACGTTGTGGACGCACTGCTGGAACGGCAAGCTCATGAGCTTGCCGACGATCGCTTGAGCTCCCTGGATCTTGTCGCCCTCGAACGTCAGCATCGAGGCGTCCTGGTAGAGACCGCCGAGGCCCGCTCGGTTCGAGTCGAAGGTGCGGTAGTAGTGCCCGACGAACGCCTTGGCGACGTCATCGGGATCCATGGAGTCGAGAGGAGATCTACTGGGTTCTGTGTTTTCTGTTGAGGAGAACTGGAGAAGGTGAGATTTTGAAACCCTAGGGTTTTGATCGAGGAGAGCTTGTTTATGTGTTCCCTCGAGGAGAATTTTTTAACAATACCCTTTTAAAATATAATTAGCAAAAACGATCCTTTTAACGTGGCTGGCCAAAATGAGATCGATTTTACAAAATTTAGTCTTGAAAACACACAGGACTACTAGTCATGTGTATTTAGTGTTTGCTAATCAGCCCCTAAATATAGCACAAAAAACGCACGGAACTAATAATCTCGTGTGTTTACTGCGCAGTATCAGAAGACGCACAAGACTACTAGTCCCGTGTGTTTTCTGAACATTCTCAGAAAACACAAGTGACTGCAAGTCCTGTGTGTTTTACAAATTGCCTAAACACATGCACGAAATATGCATGCTTCTATTCTAACTTATGTCCTGCGTACATACAATAATTCATGCGCACAAAAAAAATTAATTCACCTCATATACATATCTAAACAATATAATCCATATATATCTTATCAATTTCGAGAAATAAACATAACTTAATGCACATATAATCAATTCAAAACATCACAACACAATAGATAACAGTCCACGACAACACATTTTATATCCATACTCTAAAATACTGCCACAAATGCAAATATATCCGGTATATTTATTTATAAATAGAGTCCATGCAGAAAATCCATTAAACTATCACATACAACCTAGAAGTCCGCTCCTTTGTCTCCCTCTTCGTACCCACTCAGATCATCGTCCTCCTCCGTCGACTTGAGCTTGTACGAGCTCGCTCTCCAGTTACGTATGTGGTCGTGACGGACCAGCTTCATTGTCATGTGTGCATGATCCATCTCGTATTCGTCTATTTGGTCGGCGTGCATATAAGAGATCCTCCTCCTATGCCATCTCCATGCGACCATCATGAAGATTATCATGAGTTCAATGAAAAGCTCTACGAATCCTTCGCACTATCCGCTGATATAGAGATGCATGTATACCCGGATCTGTTCCTGCGACAGAAAAGTGCTAGATCCTCTCGCATATATGGGCATGTTATTCATTCCAACACTTAGTCTCCCATTGAATAAGCAAATTACAGGTATTCTGTTTGTCATCGAAACTGAAATAATAACATTCATCATATGCAAATTATCTATATTATTCATAACCTAAAATTTATATATCTTGTTTCTAGGTAAACCGTAGTTGAAGGACCCACTATATCAAATTTAATTTATCAAATTTTAAATAAACCATATTGTTTATCAAAATTGAAATAAAATTATTCTAAATTTAGAGTTATTGTCATACTACAATTGTAACTAAAAAAGTATACAAAATTTAAAAAAAAAATTACTTTGATGACAGTTGAAGTTCGTTGGCATCGAAGAGATTAGACGGCGTCAGAGTTCAACAATGCCGTAGTAGATCAAGAAAAAAAAATTGGGCAAGAGCCTCGGTTTGGGCTTGGAGAGAAGGAGAGAGAGAAAACTGAGGGAGAAGGAGGTGATGTGAGAGAGGATGAATGAGGGAGGGGGAGATCAGGAGAGAGTTGAGGGAGAGAACGGGAGTGAGTTGAGGGAGAGAACGGGGAGAGGGATCTCAAAGTGGGAGAGTGCGGTTGTGCCCTAATTTTTGGGCATGCTTCACTTACAAACCCCTTGACAAATACAAGGGACCATGTATTTACTGGGAATCCACCCAAGTGGCGCTAGTCCCTGTTTAACAAACGAGACTACTATTCCCGTGTGTTTTCTACGCTGTATTTAGGGACTGATTAGCGAACGCTAAACACATGAGACTAGTAGTCTCATGTATTTTAAGACCAAATTTTGTAAAGTTAACCTCTTTTTGGTCAACGTTGATAAGCTGGCCAAAAAAGGTCTATTTTGCTAATTATTTAGCAAAAAAATTATTTTTGCTAATTATTTTTTAAAAATGTCTTTTTAAAAAAATCTCCGTTTTTTAAATATGGGTCCTTAGCATGGCTTAATTGCACTTAAATACATTGTAGTTTTCCTTTTTCAAAAAAAAACCTTGTAGTTTCCCCAACTTTGCACTTAAATACCCTCACTTTTTTAGCACTTTTATACCTTAGACTGTATTTGGATGGGGATAGAGAAGAGTAGGGGAAGAGAATTATATATCTAGCTCTATTTGGGAGTTATATTGAGGGGGGATGGGAGGATAAAGAAGAAGTTTTCATGAAAACTTTCTGCAAATTCTTCTTCCTCAAATTGGGAGCAGCATAGAGGAAAAGGAGAGAATTAAACTTTCAATATAGAAGGAAATTTTGACTGTGTATGGCTCTATCATAATGAATCAATGATTAAAATATTATTGCTTTCCTTTTCTTCTCTTAATTAGAACTTCCAAACAAAATAATTTAAGTTCGCATTCATTTTTCTTATTAAACTTCTAGACTACACATTATATTTCCTCTCTGCTTCTCTAACTTTCCTTTGTCTATTCTATCGTGTATTCCCTTCTCCTAGTAATCTTCCAAACACATTATCAAAAATTTTAAAACTTACACTCATATACCCTCACTTGTTTTGGCAGCATTTATATGCTCTATAAAGTTTTTTTTAATATCCTAAAGTTGTTAAAACTCGCATTTAAATATCGCCAATTATGCAAAATTTAGGGTATTTAAATGTAAGTTTTAAAAACTTTAGGATAGTTAAGTGATAGTTTTAAAAGCTTTTAAAGTATTTAAGTGCTAATGTTAAGAACTTTACGGTATGTAAGTGTTGCCAAGGACAAATGAGGATATACATAAGTGAAAGTTTAGAAACCTTTAGGATGTACACGTACTCCCTAAAACAAGTGAGAGTGCATAAGTACAAAGTAGGGGAAAACATAGGCTATAAATGTGCCATTAATCCTTGGAATATCAACTATTTTCCAGTTCATCTTGTAAAGAATTCAAAATTGCTATTTTAACCCCATAAATTATAGGCAAAGTAGTACTTAAATACGTTATAGTTTCACTCACTTTGTATTCATATACTCTCACATGCACTTTGCACTTATATATTCTCACTTATTTTTTGTATCATTATATGCCTTAATTTGTTTAAAATTAAATCACCTTAATTTGTTTAAAATTAAATCTGCTATCCCATGTCATGCAAATTGTAGGCGTTAAAAATTACTTATAGGTCTCCACGAACAGCTCGAGGCTAAGAGAAGATGATGAACGTCACTATCCAAGTCACAGGAGCTTGATTGATGTCGACAAATACATGAAGTGGGTTGACGAACTATGTGAAGCAACGGAGTTTCAGAATAATAAGGATACGAACTGATCGGGAGCCCCGTGTCACTTACAAAAGACGAAATGCCCTTCGTGTCTCATTTATTCCACATATGATCTAATCATTGGAGCTTATAGAACTCCTCGTCGGCTTTCCAACGCACTTTGAATCGTTTAAATCCGAGTTCGGATAAAAAAGTTACGGCGAAAACGAACAAACATGCATAACGGAACGTCTCAGGCTGAACTGGGACACCCGAGGTGTCTCGGCACAACCGAGACACCCTAAGGTATCTCGGCCATGGCCGAGACACCCAAAGGTGTCTCGGACTTGGCCGAGACACCCAAATGTATCTTAAAACTTGTAGAACTGTTTTGACCATGATTCGTTTTGAATCTGAAGAAACTCAAAACATGAAGGTTGTAGATATTTTTGTCAGCTTTGTAACCCATCTAGAATCAGGTCATTTAGAGGTCATATGAGGAAGTTATGACTAAAATAGCGTCGAGACACCCAAAGGTGTCTCGTACCTGGCCGAGACACTCAAAGGTGTCTCGAAACTTTTGGAGCTGTTTAGACCATGATTCGTTTTGAATCTGAAGACACTCAAAACATAAAGGTTGTAGATAGTTTTGTCATCTTTCCAACCCATCTGGAATCAGGTCATTTAGAGGTCATATGAGGAAGTTATGACCAAAATAGCGCCGAGACACACAAAGGTATCTCGGAACTTGTGGAGCTATTTTGACCATGATTCGTTTTGAATATGAAGAAACGCAAAACATGAAAGTTATAGATATTTTTGTCAGATTTCCAACCCATCTGGAATCAGGTCATTTGGAGGTCATATGAGAAAGTTATGACCAAAATTGCGCCGAGACACCCAAAGGTGTCTCGGACCTGGCCGAGACACCCAAAGGTGTCTCGGAAATTGTGAAGCTATTTTGACTATGATTCGTTTTGAATATGAAGAAACTCAAAACATGAAAGTTGTATATATGTTTGTCACAATTCCAACCTATCTAGAATCAGGTCATTTGGAGGTCATATGAAGAAGTTATGATCAAAAAAGCGCCACGACACCCAAAGGTGTCTCGTACCTGGCCGAGACACCCAAAGGTGTCTCGGAACTTGTGGAGCTGTTTTGACCATAATTCGTTTTGAATATGAAGAAACTCAAAACATGAAGGTTGTAGATAGTTTTGTCAGCTTTCCAACCCATCTGTAATCAGGTCATTTGGAGGTCATATGAGGAAGTTATGACCAAAATAGCGCCGAGACACCCAAAGGTGTCTCGGACCTGGCCGATACACCCAAAGGTGTCTCGGAACTTGTGGAGCTATTTTGACTATGATTAGTTTTGAATCTGAAGAAACTCAAAACATGAAAGTTGTAGATATGTTTGTCACCTTTCCAACCTATCTGAAATCAGGTCATTTGGAGGTCATATGAAGAAGTTATGATCAAAATAGCGCCGAGACACCTAAATGTATCTCGGACTTGGCCGAGACACCCAAAGGTATCTCGGACCTTGTGGAGAACTTTTGGCTATAATCTGGTTATAATCTGAAGAAACCCAAAACATGAAAGTTGTAGATCTCTTTGTCAGTTTTCCAACACATCTTGAATCACTCAAATCCGAATTCGGATGAAAGAATTAGAGCCAAAATACTGAAGATGGTACAAACTGTCTCGCACAGGTGCGAGACACCCTGAGCTGTCTCGCACTTGGGACGTGTTTTTGACGGTTTTCGATCAGTTTTAACCGCCCGGATCTCCTGAAAGCCTATAAATACAGCCCCTAGAGCCTCATTTTTTGGAGCTGGAGTTTTGAAAAA